AAAAAAAAAAAAAGGAGGGGGAGTCATGCATCAAATCCCAAACTGGGCTGCATCACACAGAGGTGAATGTGGATCATGTCTTTCAGCTTTGAAGTAGGTGGTGACTGCATCTCATCCCATAGGTGGGAACTCAGCTTAATCTAAGGCAGCAAGGCAGCTCACTAATTGCACAAAGGGAAGGAGGGGATTCAGGAAATATGAGTTCTTGCCAGGCTAAATACCTTTTATTAAGAAAATTGCATTAAATATGTTAAAATAGAAGTGAAAAGAACAACAGACGTGGCTGATATCAAAATTATAAGAAAGCTTTTATATCTACAGCACATCCACAGAACAACTCACCCACATTTGCTTGCACAGTTCCTCAGATGAGGGCACAATTACTTGCTAAAGGTGCTCACCCCATCTTTGGACAGTGCTGCCTTTCTCCTAGATCTAACACACACAAAGCTGCAATGTACACAACATTAATACTTTTTCAGGTTATTCCTTCAGATGAATTTTGGCATCTCATGGCTCTTGGTCTCATGTTCATCTTCTCCAGTTTAATACCCTCAGTCTTCAGGAGTTTCTTCTAATAAAAAACTACATCTTTTTGTTGTCATTTTTTTTGTTTTGGTTTCTTTTTATTCTTCTGTCACACAAAACATTTTAAATCGTGAAGCCTTTATAGATGTGATCTGACTGTGTCAGGGTAAAATAGAGCTACCATTTGCTTTATTCAAAATATTATTATTTTAGTCACTGTGTTGACTCTGATATATGCCAATAGCTGGACACATTGCATAACAGCTGAAGCATTGGACGAGGAAATAATGCTAAAGACAAATTAGGTTACAGCAGAGACTGATCACAGTACATTTGTTATAGTGGGTAGCTATTCCAGCTTTGATCTGGAAGTTCCAACCCCCACTGAGGCTTTGGCAACTGTCATGCCTACAAGGCAGTGCCAAGGGAGTTGCCAAGAGACCTGAGATCTGGATGGGCCAAGGCTCTCTCTGTTCCTGAACCCTAGAAGGTGGAGCTTGACTGAGCAGAGTTCCAGAGAACACCGCTGGACTGTGATACACCTTCCCCAGAACCCGCAACCTACCTATCCCCTCATTTGTAAGTTATCCACTAAATAAATCTTCCTTTTAACTACGTGGAGTGGCCTTAATAATTTCACCAATAATAATTTATCCACCACTTTATTCTACAAGCAATAATCCTCAGGAATATAGAAGCAGAAATGCCCCAAGGAACTGGTGCTGATAAGCTAAGCCTAGCCCTGAGCTGGAATCATCTAGAACCCTTCTTTTCTGCTTTCCAAGTACACACACATGTGTTTGTGAGAAAGAATATGAAGAGTGACAGAGGGAAAGCTCATGAAAGTCTTGAAGAATTTCAGCCTCACTGGTTGGGGTGATTAATTGTCAAGTGACATGTTCCATATGGACAACTTTGCATGGGGTCATAGAGGGCTTTTTTTTTTTTTGAAAATATTACATTCTAAACTTTTCAAAACATTAGCGAAGATATTTATCATCAGAATCTGTGTGAATCCGTAGCCTTGAGAGCTGGGCTGGGGATAAGTAGGAATCGGGAGGGATTGACCCAGAGTGACCAGGAGTAATGGTGATGATGACTTAAGACAGAGGCAGAGTTCTGTGTCTGGCATGTCTCAGTAAAATCCTTCAGAGTGTTTCTTAGTTGTCAATTTATAAAGCTGGCTAACACTCACTTGATGCAATGATAAGAATGCATTACTTAGTCATATGTATGTAAATTGGCTATAATTTAACAGACTAAAGTGAGACTGCTTCAGTATGACTTTAAATTTATGGTGTAACGTGGTTTCTTAGTCTTTTTTTCCATTGGTTCATGTTATATTTACTGCTTTCCACTTATACAACATCTACTGATAATAATTTACACAAAGCATGTCACATGGATGAGCCCATAAGTATTTGGCAGATAACAGCACGTTTCTACAATGTTAACAAAAAATAATGAGTATTTGCCAAAAGCTAAGATAGGTTACTATCCTATGCAGCTTCTTTTATGAATTCTGTATTGAAATTTTCACTGGGTAAACTTCTACCTTCCAGAGGATCCCTGGATCTCTGGACATCTCTGCCACTTAATTCATATCTTGATGACATTCCAACTTCCTATAATAGTTCATGTGCTGACTAGAATCTCACCCCACAGCTATTACTATTGATTTTAAGTGTTCATTTAACAGTAGCCCATTAGATCACACCAATTATTTGATTAGTAATCTATTGCTGCTGAACAAATAGTTGTCAATACTGTAACTATACTCAAAAATATGCAATGACTTCTCTCTCACAAACAATAAGGTAAGGGGATTAATGTTTGGTTGACTTAGGATGAGATATGAAAGCCATAGTGGCATGCTCCTCACTAATAACCATATAACTGTCTGGCCATATAAATATATATTCCTCCCAGAATAGATACAAAGAGCACACAGGCCGAAGTCACCATGCAAATACATTTCACCTCCCTAATAATTTCATATCTGACACCATGGTATTGGAAAGATTCATGGTTTAGTCCTAATGTGATTCAAAAAGGTTTTCAAAGTTTGGTCATTTCTACAAGTCTGTTGACTTTCACATTCTTCTAACACACCATCATATTCAAGAACAAGTATCTCACAGTATCCATTCCAGTCTTCTCAAGGCATCTGTGCAGTCTTATTGATCTGTTTAGGCTTCCACCAAATGAGAGTAAAGTGATTTGTTAAAAGTCCTCACTGCCTTTCCTACTTCCATTGACACTCTGTTGACAGTACTTAGAGATTGCTGTTGAAAGCAAACATCAATAGGCTCAGGTGATGGTAAAAGTAAGAATAGTTAACTAAACTGAAAGTAAGTAGAAATTTTTTATTATTCAAGACAGGTTCTCCATATGTACTTCTGGATGGCCTGGAACTCAGAGAGACCCACTTGCCTGTCTCTGAATGCTGGGGTTAAAGACTTGTACCACAATACTTGGATTGAGTTCCTTTTATTTTTTATTTTTATTTTTATTTTTATTTTTATTATTCAGTCCTGGCCCACCTGCCTAGAGTAGCATTGCCCACAGCAGGCCACACTCCCCATAACTAGCAATGGAGAAAATGCTGCAGAGACGTGCCCATGGTCCAACATGACGCAGGAAATCACTCAACTGAGGTTTCTCTTCTCAGGTGTCAATTTCACAGCCAATATTAACCATCACACTCACTGAAAACCACAGCAAACTCTTCTTATACGTGGATTAGAGAGGAGAAGATTGGGTCTTCAACTTTGCCTCTTTTATTCTGTTCCTAAACACCTATCAGTGGTCAGTGAGGGCACTTATCCTTTTTCCCTCCCTGTTTCCTAACT